ATGTGTGTGTGTGTGTGTGGCGTTTGCGTGCAGGTGATACCTTGCTCGATATGTTGACATACGTTAACTCATAGCGCAACGGCAGGCAGAGTCTGTCGGTCTCTCATGAAACGAACTGCGTCAACATCGACCAACCCTTGCTCGATATCGTATAGGGAGCCGCGTTTGTCATGGTGTTGCCTGTGTTCTCTTCTACATGCCCGTCTGGGTCCTCTGTCGTTCTCTTCTCGGCCGTGAATGTTTCTTGGCCTCTAAATGCACGCCGATTGGCCATGAAACACACCGTCTCGCAGCTTGGGCAGTGACCGACTGACCGTCCGTACGAAAGCTACGCCATCCAAGCAGTTTACTGCTGTCAGCAGACTCATAGCTGACAGAAAACAGTAACCGTAACGGTCACAGGGAAGACCTGGGTGATCATCCTCTCACCTGACGCTGCTCTGCCTACTCAAGAGGCTGACTGTCCTCTCACCTCCAACGCTCTCTGGCTATTGATCTGGCACACATCCATGAGAAGAATGACGAGGTAGGTCTGCTTGTATCGCCATGCTGTGTGTGTCTCACCCGAGCTCTGTTCGCCGTTGTGCGTGAGAGGCCTTCACACTGGGACTGATTTGAAGGGGGGTGGGGGCTGCATGCGCTTTCCTGGCGTCTTTTCCGTGTTTGTGTTTCCTTTTTTTCGGTTGATTTTTTCGTTTTTTCGGCCGATTTTTTTTTTGTAGGTGGATTGGCATCCCCGGAAGAACCGATCGTACGTACAGGCGGAAAAAAAAGTAGCCTAGCTGGTGCTTTTAGGGAGGTCGTGAAAACCCCGCCCTAAGGAAGATACTGAGATTCGACACCGCCATGGCTTCTGTCGAAGAGGAGCCGTCATCCTCATCTGCGGCAGCATCTGATGCCTCCCCGCTACCCTCTGCTGCCGAGAGGGAGGGTCTGAAGGAGGTGCTGCAGTCCAAGTCGAGGGATGAGCTGCTGGAGATGTGCACCCGCATGGCCCGCAGCATCCAGAGCCTCGAGGAGCTCCACGCCCTAGAGGTGGAGCAGCAGCAAGAGCTCAAGGACGAGAGCACCCGGCTGCACACGACGCTGGAGCAGCTGCTGTCGTCCACCAAGGAGCTGAAGATCGGCAGCCGCCAGACGCAGGGCAGGGGCGACGGCGACTTCCCTGCTCTCAGCGTGAGCGGCACGTTTCGCTTCGTGTCCAACCTGCTGGGCGGCGGGAGGGGGCAGCACTCGCCAGTGGCGGTCAACGAGCACGTGGGAGACCTCACACGCAACCAGGTGGACGCCCGGTCGCGCCAGGCACCGCACAAGGAGCCGTCACTGTGGGAGAAGCTGTCGTCGTTGGACCTAGACGTGCCGTCCGTCGCACGACTCAAGAAGCCGCCCCGCAAGGCCATCCACATCAACAAGCCCTTCATCAACCAGCAGCAGCAGCAGCGGCGGCGTATCCCCGGTGGCCCCTTCGCCCAGTGCCAGGTGCCGTCCATCGCCCCGTCCCTCGGGGGTCTGTACCAGCGCGCACCGGCACCTGCATCGCCATTCGACACCCTGGACCCGATGTCAGTCAGGACCAAAGCTGGGGAGGGTGCGGCGGCGGCGGACAGCCGTGTCGGGGAGGAGTTCCCATCCAAGGAGGTGGAGGTGGAGCGCAACGTGGTGGTGGCGACGGTGACGATAGCGGATGGCAGCCAGCACCAGCTGTGTGTGAGGGCCACGGAGTCGTGTCAGTCGGCGGCTGAGCGGTTCGCGGCACAGCACAACCTCAAGAAGACGGCCATCGGACCGCTGACGGCCTACCTGACGCAGGTCGATGACGAGGCCGAGACGTACCCCGTGGCGGTAGAGGCCGATCTCGCCACCATCCTGCAGGCCGGCCACGGCCAGCAGAATTCCCCCATTGCTGTGTCCAGCGGGGCGGAGGGGCCGCACTGACTTATTGGTGAGTACTTCGGTAGACTGCGTGTGGTGGGGTGGCCTTTTATATCATGATGTTTTCTCCTGACGGGCGGTAGTTTTGTTGTATTGTAGCTCATGGAAAAGGAGGGACAGCTGCCTGGCTGCATGTTGATACGTGGTGCGAGAAATTCGCCTGCCTCTCTCTCTCTCTCCTCTGATTGGTTGGCTTGCCCAAGTGAGTTTTGTGAGTCTAGAGGCACATCAATGTGTAGCGCGAGTGGCTGGCTGGCAGTTCCGCTTCGGTGAGGGAGCGCGAATGGTTACCACATCGGTGCGCTGACAGCGGTATGGCGAACATGCGCGATTCCCCTCTCAGGCAGGCGGCAGGCCCAGGCAACAGAGGGTTGAACATAGATGCAGTCAGACATTTGACAGTGAAGGGTTCTGGCGCAAGCTATTGCAGCGAGCTCAAGATCCATGCAATGATGCACACACGATGACCTTTTCGAAGCTCTTTGTGGGCATCTACGTGAATCTATCTGATCCGGTGCGCTCCTGCTGTGCAGGATCTGCAACAACGATGCGCATGGTGAGCTTGTGGATGCTGACTGTGGAGGTCTACGTCATTGCTTATCCAAGTGCGTCACTCATCGCCTCTCCTCCCCTCCAAAGCGGACGCTCTCGGCGCGCCTCGTTGCGTGCAAGCGGCACAATGTCAATGCCACATCGAGCTGATGCCGCCCCGGCCGCCTCTGTCGTCAACATCACTGTTCATCCTGCTCTCATCGTGCCCGTGCTCGAGATGGCTGATCTGGACCACTTGGTCACCTATGCAGAAGCATTCAGCATCTCGGACATCTACGGCTCCACTGTGTGGCCATCCGGACTCATCGCCGCGCGCATCCTTTATCAAATGGGAAGAGGCAGGGCAGGAGGGCTGCATGGCCTGCGAGTGCTCGAGCTGGGGTCGGGGACAGGAATCGCCTCGCTGGCGGCGATGAGGATGGGAGCTGATGCTATGGCGACCGACATCTTCCCGCCCGGTTTGGACCTGATTAGACGAGCGGCCGAGCTGCAGCCGACACACGAGGGGCAAGGCACTCTCGACGTGATGCTGTTCGACGTCACGGCCTCCTATCCACTTCCCGATGCTGATGTTCTGGTCGCCGCCGATGTGCTATACGACCAGAAAGTAGCCCGTCACGTGGGCAGGAGGGTGGCTGAGGCGCTGTCGAAACGGATGAGAGTCATTGTGACGGATCCAGGACGAGCGGGTCGTGCCGACATGTTCGCCGGTGCTTTGCAAGAGTGTGGAAGGCTACCCGACGCGACTGTACGGGAGATGCTGGAGAGTGGTCGCTTTGTTGACGCTCAGGTGGACGTTGCGTCAAGTAGGCCGGTGGGCAGTGATGGGGCGGAGCTGCTCAAGGCGAGGGAGGAACAGAGGACGGAGAATGTCGGTGCGCTCGAGCTGGCCGGGGATCTTATGCGCTGTGATGGCTCGCTGGGCCTGCCATTATTGCCGAAGAGTGAGAGGGAGCTGTTGCACTTTCTGGAGCTGCATGACGAGTGACTATGTGTATGAGAGGTCGGGGTGTCCGTCGGTAGGTACTTGTACAGTGTGCATATGACAGATGACACACATGGGGTTTAGTATGTGTTGCCTTGGCTGTCACCACAGTCGTCCACCCGACTGACTCACGGTCCATGAATTCATACATAAATGCTCTCGCCGTCCCTACAATCATCCACCTCCATAGCTAGATCACAACACCTACAAATGAATGCCCCGTCCCACCGCCTTATCTCTTCTGTCTCATACGCAAGAAACTGACAGCAGCAGGCCTCACAATCATCCCTTTCGACGCCACAGAGACCGATGCAGGCTGGCACGTCTTCCACCGAGGAACGACAGGCACGTGGTGCATCCGCCGTGGTTGTTGGTCGATCCGCTTGACAGCAAGGACCTGCATCAGCCTCTCCAGGGACGATGGCGGCTGCCTCGCTGCTTGACCCTGTCCCTCTCTCTCACGTCTGCGGAACCATCGACCCCACAAACCTGCCCGACTGCAGGCAGGCATGAGACGGCATGCACGGATTGCCATTCGACGGCATTTGCGTCACACGTACGAAGGCCATCCTCACCTGTGCGGCCTAGCCATGGGCGTCAGCTCCTCCTTGGGCACCGATGACGCATTCCTCCTAGGGTCATTCGGGGCGCTGAAGAAAGATGAAGGGGCCGAGCTGTTGTCCGCCTTTTCTTGCTGGCCCTCCCCTTCAGGTCGGCCCGCATCCTGGCGTGTTTGTGACGTGTCGTCGGATGAAGCGGAGCTCTGTGGAGGTTGCCGCTGTTGGCTATATGACGGCATGTGCCGCATGAGGTGGGAGCAGAACGTGTCGAAATCCACACATGAGGCCGCCTCGTCTTCGGATTGCGACGGGGACGTGATCGATTGGGGAGAGGATGACTCTGCCCATTTCTTCATGACGCGGCGAAAAATGCCCTTGCTGATGATGCGGTTGCCTCGCGTGAGCTGAGGGGACGTATCCTCACACGAAATGGCGGAAAAGACTGCGCGAGAGGGGAAAGGAACACAGGCAGGTCTTCTATGTCAGGTGTCGGTGGGTGGTCACGTACGTACGTGCCTCGAGGGCATAGTCTCTGACGGGATCGGCACCGACGGCACGATTCACGCCTCTCCTCAGCTCGTCTAGATGGGCAGACCTGCATCAACAAAAAGAAGACGGTCGATTACATGCGTGGCTGAGGTGCGTTATGTGTTTCGAGCTGACCCCCTTCGTAGCCAGAGGGCAGAGGAGCCAGCGATGTGGCCATAAAGAGTTGGGCCGACCATCTCTCCATTCCCACGCAGAGGCCACCGAAATGGCAACCTGGGCGTGTGCACACAGAGAACACGCGGATGGGTGGCCATATACGTCCATCCATAAAATATCGCCTGAGCCCACTTGCTGACACTGACGGCGAGTTCGTGTCTGGTGAGTGTTGGGGACTTGTCGAAGAGCTGCTCCCACCTCGCGTCGTGCCGCCGCCAGAATTCTATGTCCATGTTTCCCTGATTGATGCGATCGACACCACACCATCAATCAGGGAAAGAGGGGGCTGCGTTCGCCTGCATTTGTGTGCGCGTGTAGGTGCGCACCATCCACTTGATCGTCCTTCGTGTGATGAGTTCCCTGCTCTCCCACTGAATGCCCGTTGCGTAGGGCTCCTCTCCGCCTTGGTCGTCGCCATTTTCCTGTTGGATCAGTGACCGCATCTGACAGACAGACACATACGCACAATACAATGTGCAGGAGTCCAGTAAAAGACCTTGGACAGCTCACTTGTCGCCCTATCCGGCTGCCGAAGCCTCTCCGTTTGGAGTCAGGTGTGGTGTGTTCAGCAAGGCGACCAAACAGCCTGAAGACGAAGATAGGCCATCCGAAGGTGCTGCATGCACTGCCGGCCTCTCTCTGTGGATATCTTTCTCACTTGATGGTTTCCAGCAGCACCTCATGAGCAGCAGCAGGATCTTGCTTGTCCAGGGCCACATAGATCGGCCGATGTGATGAGCACACACATTTCCCGAAAGCACCAAATAGAAGCAGGGCAGAGGTAGCGAGGCTCATGGTAAAAGGCCGCCTCCTCAGGCATCACTCAAGAGAGCCTGTTGTTGTTTCTTCGGCGATTTTCGTGTTTTCGTCGACAGATGCCATCGCATGCGGCCACAATCACGCCGCAAACACCTCCTTCCACGGACGTTATCCCGGCGGCGATCCACCGTATGCGAGCTTAGCTGCAACAGAAAGAAAAGTCAAAAGCGCGAAGGATCTATCAACCTCATGCAGCCTGCTCGCTTTGTCTGATTCCGATCTCATTCATGGTCAGAGGCGGCATCAGAGAGCGCGGCAGAGGCGGTCGTGGGTCACGAGGACGGGGAAGGGGAAGGGGCAGAGGAGTGGCGAGGGAGGGCACAAGAGGCGACAGGGGAGGCGGACGGAGGCATGGCCAACACAAGAAGAGGCGAGATGCAAGTCGCTACCAGGAGCACCAGGCGCAGGTGGTGGAGTATTTCAGGAACCTGCAGAAGGTGATTGATGAAGATGACTTCCCCAACGACGCCGAGCGGCGAGTGTTCCTCACACAAGTGCTATCGGAAGTCGTGGAAAAGGTCAGCACATGGGAGGAGGGCCTTAAACCTGATCACTCATTTTGTCCGTACGGTGGTGGTGTGAATCTCCCCTCTCTCCTTCAGGATTGGCAAGCGGCGATGGATCAGCGGTGCAGCAAGATCCTCGAAAAGGTCATCCGGACACTCATCGCCCTCCCCGCCAACCAAACGGAGGACCAAGAGATGCAACCACAGGGCGAAGACGACGAGCGGCAGGAAGAGGCGTCCAACCAGGGGTCGGTGGCTGCCCTCTTCGACCGTTTCGCGGCCAATGCGTCATCCATCGCCAGCAATGCCTACGCCTCGCACGTGCTGCAGACGCTGATTGGTGCGGTGCCGCATCTTTACGAGCAAATGGGGGAGAGCGAGGGCGGCAATCTCAGTGAAGGAGTACGGCTGGCGCTTGAGAGGGAGAGGGTCAGGCTGGAGAATGCGCTGTATGTGTTCGTCAAGGGCCTCGGGTGAGAAGACAGCGCACCCTTCCATCAGACGCAAGAGTAGATGTGCGTCTGTGTGTGTGCTGGTTGTGTGGTGCAGGGGTGAGGACACGGAGGAGCTGCGGCTGGGCAATGTGGATGAGGGCAGTGGAGGGCTGACCACGACTCGGCAGTGGGTGTCCCTCATGTGCGACCCATGCGCCACACACGTGGTCCGATCGCTCACACTCGCGCTCAACGGATACCAACGAAAGACCGACGATGCAAACACAGGTGAGCCAGCCACCCGCCGACACCATGCGACCCACACAGAATCCTTGTTCCCTCCCTGATGCAGGCACGACCAAGGCCGGCAAGAGGAAGGACATGGAGGATCTCTCGGCTCTCTCGCGGACATCCCATCTCCCGGAGTACTTCCCCCTGTTCGCCAAACACCTGGAGAGCTGCCTGCTGGACGCCCTGAGGGAGGACGTGTATGACGTGTGTCTCGACCCCTACTGCGCGCCCGTCCTGATTCTGGTCATGCGGGTGCAGAGGGACCAGCAGAGAGACCAAGACGTCGCTGCCGTGGCGGACACAATGCTGGCCCTTCCCGCGACTAAGCAGCATCTGGTGAGAAGGATCCCAGCCACATGTGGGTTGACACACGGCTGTGTGTTCAATGGGTACAGAAGGAAGGCAAGAAGGCTGCCGTCAAGACGGAAGGTGGAGCTGAAGGGCCGCAGCTGCTGTGGGATATTGCAGGTAGGGCTGCAAGGCGATCAGAGACACACACCGCCACAGAGAGCGAAAGGACGTTGATGCTTCCTTTGCCCTTATCTTTTCTCAGACGAGTTGATTCGGTCACCCGTCGGCAGTGCCGTCATGGAGACCGTCCTCGAGACAGCATCATCAGTACGCATCATCCATCCTCTCACGGCCGGCCGACCTTCTCTCCCTCTCGGTCTCAGGCTCAGTTTTCTTTTATCTTCACCCACTACTTCAGGGGGCGGATCAATGCACTGGCGCAGGGTCAGACACACAAACGCAGCGCTCAGCGCACAGATTGCGGGTGTCCGTGTGTGTCTGTAGATGGTCTCGGCAACTTCGTCATCCAGAAGCTGCTGGGCTGTTCGCAGCTGTCAGAGTCGCTATTTGGTCTCCTGCTGCAAGGTACGGGCCCCATAAACAAATCCACTCACTGATACGAAGATGGCTGGCGTGCATTTACGAAGATGGCTGGCGTGCATTTGTGGCTTTGGGTGTGGTATACCTGTAGAGATTGACTTCGGTGTTGCCCTTGCGAGTGGCAAGACAGGCGTCATGTGGCGATGCGCTGAGGCGTGCAGAAGACTGCACGCTGGATTCAAGACATGCGCTAAGGTCAGAACTGAACAGTCTCCGCGCCACTGGCTATTCGCAGGCGTGCCTTTCTCTCTCTCTGTCAGGGCATCTTTGACGCCCTCAACCTGTCGGCCCCGTCTGCCGCCCCGGCAGCGTGGCAGTCCCTCCTCACACTCACACCACACTCAGCATCGGACGTGGCCTCTCAGCAGCAGCAGCAGCAGCAACAGGAACAGCAGCCGGCAGCACCCACCCGACTGCGCTTCGAGGCTGTGGGATGTTCCCTCGCCATCTGCCTGCTGCACTTCCCCGCCACCACCATACACCCACTCACAGCCGGCTTCAGGAGCTTCTTGGCTACAGCAGGGCCCGGGAAGAGTGAACAGGCGGCCGCCAGTGGCGGGCAGGGGCCCTCGCACTCGCAGCAGTCGGCGTTTCCGCTGCTGGCTCTGGCCAAGCATGCGCAGGGGTGTCGGGTGATCGAAGCCATCACGGTGGGGTGGGCCTAGCGCTGCCGGGGCGGGGGCAGTGTGGTGGCACACCTGTGTGCTTGCCTGTCTATCTCCTCTTCAGGACCCTTCCACGCCCCTGTCATCGAGTCTGCTCAACAAACTCGTCCGTACATTCACCGGTATGAATGATGTCCATCTACCCACCTGTATGTATGTGTCTAAGAGTGTGTGTGTGTGTGTGTGTGTTTGTGGCTGGGTCAGGTCACTATCGTGAAATGGCTCTTCATCCGAACGGGAGCTTTGCCGTGACGGCCCTGTACAGGGCAGCATCGGTATGCAGTGGCTGGCCACCACAAACACACACCTGCGCTGTGTCCATGTGCGTGTGTTCAGCCTGAGGCAAAGACGGCGCTGGTTGGTGAGCTGCTGGAAATAGAAGAGGAGCTCAAGGTCAGTTTGCGTGCGGTCCACACACACAAACGCTGCAGCCGCATCCACGTGTTTGTATATGTCGTCAGGCGGCCAACTACGCCGTGTATCGGCGTTGCGAGTTGCCCCGCTACAAAAAGAGCAAGGAAGAATGGTAAATGAGAAGCGAACCCCAGAGACCCCTCCCTCGCAGTGATGAATCCATCTGTCTGTCTGCGTGATGCACTGCCTGCACGCAGGGAGGCGCGACAGGAGAAGAAGAGCAAAGCAAGGGTACACGAGTGACAAACGGCACAGCCACCACAACAACCAGCAACTGCATATTCTCTGTCTACCTCCATGTATGGTCAGGCCCTCTTCCAAGACATCCTTGCTGCTCGCGAGGACGAGGAACGGCGCAACACATCTCGAAGCGCCGCTGGCAATGTCGACGAAGACGAAGAGGTCGCACAGCTCAAGCAGGTACTTGCGACCAGACGCCCTCGCATACATGATCGATCGATGCGCATTCTTGTGTTCAGGACCCTGTTGCGTCTCTGCTGCTCGAGGCGGCACCCATTAAGGACGAAGACGAGGGCACCACAGAGGCTATCAGCACTGCCAGCGTCGGTGGTGCTGGCGGCGGGAAGGACAAGAGGGCCAAGGACAGGCGGAAGGGCAAAGACAAGGGCCGGCAGCAGATGAGCCAAGATATCTCAGCACCGTCTGAACAAGAGCCCACAGAGTGAGAGAAAAGAATATGCAGCCAACATGCAAATCGATGATGTATCCGCCGCTGTCTGTCTGCGTGTCGTCTGTGGCTGCACAGGGAGTCACGGGCGCTGGACAAGCTCTTCAGCCACGGTAAGCAATGACGACACACTTGGTGATGGCAATCACACTTTTCTGTCGCTTTTCCGCCTGTCATGCTATGCCTCAGCGGAACGCAAATCCCGAAAGCGTAGGAACAAGTCAAGAGACGATGAGGGCTGCGCTGTGCAGCCAGCTGAAGAACCCGAGCAAGCCAAGGACAAGGTCAGGCAGCCAGCACACAAACTAAATCTGCATCAGTAGCCAGGCCCTCCTATTGCTGTGTGTCTGCACAGGACGCGTCGCTCACGTCAGTGCTGTCGTTCATTGAGGGCACATCCAAACGCGCCCTAAAGAAGCGCAAGAAGGAGCAGAAAATGCTCGAGGCGACAAAAGCTGCTGGCCATGAAGACGAGGGCGACAGTGACAGCGATGCCAGGGGTGACGACTGGCCAACGACACCTCAGAGAGGCGGTGCATCGGACCGGCAGAAGAGAGAGCTCATGGACAGGTTGAGGAAGAAGGGACAGGGAGGGAAGGATGGTGCCAAGAGAGGGAAGAACAAGTTCATGATGAGCTAGTGGATTGATTCGGTGCTCAATTGTGTATACTGATCAATGTGAATGGACACGAGCACGGACAGAATCTGCTCACGTCCATCGACAGCGATGTGTTTGGCGATGGATGAGCTTGAGGGGTTCAGAGACGATGGCTGACGAGTCACAGAAAGCCTTTCAGTCACTCACGAACGCCCAGTACATGCACTGCACGCAACAACACCACATCACATCGCCGCCAAACCACTCGATCGACGGCACGAGCGACAGACGGTTCCGCCGCCAGGCCAGCCAGCAGCACTCGATCACGTCATCCTCGACGTCGAATAGCCGCAGCACAGGGAGCCACATGGGCCTTACACGAGAGGCTCGTAGTATAGGGCATCAGTCGGTCGCTCGGTTGTGTATGGCGAATGTCGCCCCCTCTCAGCTCCAGGTAGGCCACCGTCGTCTCGTCACGTCGGAAGCCGCTCACGAACACAGAACAAGCCCCATCACCATCCCGACGTGCTGCATGCGGAAGGTGGACGTGATACCCTCATGCTTGGGGATCACATCAGGTGGATGCTTGGGTATCACAACACCATCCTCAATGGCTCGCAACTCATCAGCAGCCGAAGAGAGGTGAACACTTTGTCCCACTTGTTGGCCAGCCGGGGCGTCTACATTGAGCACACAAACAGCCAGGCAGAGTGCTAATCACAGCTTGATGGCTGCATTCTGCTCGGCGATGCACGTGTGCGGCAATTGTGAGCGAAAGAGCTTGTGAGGCAGCGTCACAGGAAATCTGACGGACGCATGAACGACACCAAATCACTCTGACGGCTCGAGAGAATCTGTCTGTCTACTACTGACCTGTGTAGTGGCAAAACGGACATCACGGATGCGCCGCTGAAGGTCGTCCAGGCCACTGCCAAATGTATCCTGACCGATTCGAGCACACACAGGGGAGGAAAAAAAGTTGAGCTCGCCTTTCAGTTGGGGGCAGGGGGGCGGGAAACATCAGAAGCTGCTCTCCCTTTCTGTCCGCCTCTATCACTGTTCGTCTGTCTGTCGGGTCTATCTAGGAGGATGAGATGGGCAGATTCACGGCCTGGGAAGGAAACGGTTGAGCGAAGTTCGTGCAGCTGAACGCATCTGCAGCGCCACACATGCTCTCTTGCCTCTTTCTGCCTTCGCTGGCCTCCCACTGTCCGCCTGATATCCCCGGCGGCGCCGCAGGTACGTAGGTGAAAGAGGCTCTCAGACAGATTTGTTCATGTCTCCCCTCTTCTCTTCTCTTCTCTTTTTTTCCTTCGCATACTTGGCCGCTCCGGCGGCCACCGAGAACATATTTTGGCCTAGCTGCAGGACGACGTGGGCTCATGGAACAAGGGAAGACCCCCACGACCGAACCAGGTGTGTCTGATGCACACGTCCATTTGTATACACACCACGATCTTGTTTTGGCGAGACTGAGAAGGGCATTGTATATGTTTGGTGCGTCAGAGGAAGGAGGAGGACCTTTTGGCCGAGGTAGGTAGGGGAGGAAGGAAGGCACCACGCGCTTTGCATTCCTCTCGTGCCGCCTCTCTTCCAATGTTCATGTGCATCACAATTCGCAGTTGCATGAGATCAGCGGGGCCTACCGCCGCAGAATCCAGAAACGCCAGGAGGTCGAGGATGCGTACGAGGCCTGCATGGCCCTCAAGGCCGCCAACGAGAAGAGGGAGGAGGCCATCAACAGGCGGCGTGGCGAGCAGCAGAAGAAGCGGGCGGTGGACGAGCATGACCTGGCCATCGATGCCGCAGTCGCGGCCTACATAGCGGCCAAGTACGAGCTGCCCAAGGACGGTGCCACCTAGGAGAACACCACCCACCCTTCACCGAGGGCAAGCAGGACGGGGCGAGCAAGGCCAACAGACACAAACCACGTGCTTGCTGCCTCTGTGTTCCATCAGTCGTGATGCCGAGATAGTCCTTCGCCACTCCGCCCCACCTCGCCCCCGGCAGACCTTCGCCACACACGCCCGCATTGTGCTCAAGCAGCCACCGGCAGCAGCGGGCGGTACAGTGTACTTGGACAACCTGGCGGGGTTGGGCTTCCTGCCGCCCTCCCCGGGCGCCGGCCCTGCGGCTGCTGCTGCTGCGGGCATGCACCAACTCCCCGACCGTAAGGAGCGACATAGAGTCAGACAGATAGTCGCGACATGGCTGGTATGCCTTCGTGTATGTCTGTTTTTGTGTCTGTGTGTTTCAGTGACTACGTACGAGGCGCTGCAACTGCATGCCGCGTCGACCCCACACGCCCCGACCACGTGTTCGACGGCAACAGGCTTATCATCGGCAGTCGACGCGCACCGCTGCGTACCCTGAGGTGGTTCGAGCAGCTCCCTCAGGGCTCCATCCCGCACCAGAGGTATCGGCCGTGGTTTGACACCAAAAGCGGCATGTACGACCTGCAGTCGCTGCTACCACCACGGGAGGACGGGCGCCCAGCGCTCCCCAATGCCGCCTACAGGCACGGCGACGGCCGCAAGGTCCAGGCGAGCCCCCTGAGTGTGGACTACTACGAGAACCTGAACAACCTCGACATACACACGTGGATCAACCGCCACGCCGAAAACTCATCCGCCCTGTTCCTGGCTGAAGTGAGGGAGGGAGAAGGGACTCGGGGAGAGCAGGAAGACACCATCACACGCATGATGTATTGGGCAACATACACGTATGTGTCATGTGTCTTGCCGTTGTCTGTCCACCTGCAGGTGCGCGGCAACGGGGTGGCGGGGCGGCTGCAGACACTGACGGCCATGGGTGGGCGTGTGAGGGGCGTGATATTCCAGGAGCGTGTGGAGCTGCTCGCCGACGGCCACTCCATCCCCACTGGGTGCCCACAGTGCCGTTGGAGCGGGGTTACTGGGCCGATGTCGACTCGATTCGCAGCCGTAGCCGCCACCGCCTCATCAACAGCCACGAGTTGGCTGCCCGCATCGCAGCGGGAGAGGCCTACGCCCACATCGACCACTACCTCTCGGTGAGGACAACAGAGACACTCAACGCACGCACACATCCATGTGTTCATGTTCCCACCCTGTATGTGATGTGTGTGACTGATGTTGTTTCTGTATGTGGGTATCTGTGTCTCTGTGTTAGGCGACCAATTGCTGCCTTCATTTTATATTTTGGCGTCGATTTCTTCTATTCCTCCGCGCGGATGCTGAAGGGGTCGACTCTCAGTAGGAAGAAGGCCCCAAAGGTTACTTGTCCGAGCACCGAGCAGTCCAGCGAGACGACCCGCCGCATCTGCAGCGGCATGCCCATCATGGAAGGCACGCCGGCCTGCATGCGCTCATGGAAGGGCGCAATTGTGGAGGAGAAGGAGAAAGAGAAGGAGAGAGAGCAAAGACGATGGCCACACGCACAGCCGCCGCTGCCGCCATAAGGCAAACACTCTTGAATAGGGGAATTGCTGTGCCGGACATATACAGTGACGAGCGCCTCGCGTTCACGGAGAACTTCCTTCGGTTCAAAAAGGACCACCGTGAGGTGAGGAGGGCAGAGAGGCGCATGCACCATTGCGCAATGGCACCAGGGGCATCGACGACATTCATTCGTTTTGTTCTCTCACTGCAGGAGTTCGCCCAGTGGATGGGCTCGCTGCGCGGCAGTCAGGAGGGGAGGGACGTTGGCGTGACGCAACTCGAGAACCTTCAGCGACATGAGAGGGTACCAACATCAGGCGCACATCCAGCCACACACCCAGCACCTGACACGCTGTGCTGTGCTGTGCTGTGCCGTTTTGCAGAAGGCCGCCAAGGCCGCCAAGGATGCCACTGCCAGCACCACCCGCCAGCAGCAGAAGCACACGCAGCAGCAGGCCACACAGGACCCCACCCACCATGTGTGGCCCCACCATCACCATGCCGCAGCCATACCACCGCCTTCCCCCACCCCTCCCCCCCACAGACGGAGGCACCGAAGCCGCAGCCCAGTCCGGGCTATTATGTGCAGGAGGAGTTGCCCGATGTGTATGCCGATGACCGCCGCGCCTTCACCAAGAAGGTCCTTCGGTTCGAGCAGGACCACCCTGAGGTGAGGAGGGCAGGGAGGCGCATGCAGCATTGCGCAATGGCTCAGGGGCATCGACGACATTCATTTGTTTGTTTCCTCACTGCAGGAGTTCGCCCAGTGGATGGAGTCCATGCGCGGCACTCAGGAGGGGCGGAAGTTTTGCGTGAGGCAAGACGAGTACATTGAGCACCTGCAGAAGGTACCAACATCATGCGCACATCTAGCTAGACACGCCAACACGTGATACTTTGCGCTGTGCTGGGCGGTACCGTTTTGCAGAAGAAAGCTGCCAAGGCCGCTGCCAAGAAGCTCAGCCCCACCCACCAACAGCACACCAGCCAGCAGCAGACCACCCA